TTTCTCCTCCTCGCCGTCCTCCTCCTCCTCCTCCTCCTCCTCCTCCTCCTCCTCCTCCTCCTCCTCACTGCTGCTCCTCCTCCTCCTCCCTGCTCCTCCTCCTCCTCCTTCTCCTTCTCCTCCTCCTCCTCCTCCTTCTCTCTCCTCACTGCTCCTCCTCCTCCTCCATCCTCCTCCTCCTTCCTCCTCCTCCTCCTCCTCCTTCTCCTCCTCTCCTTCCTCCTCCTCCCATCCTCCTCCTCCTCCTCCCTCCTCCTCCTCCTCCTCCTCCTCCTCCTCCTCCTCCTCCTCCTCCTCGGCAGGGAGAAGGAGGGTGGGTGGGGGGGATGGAGTGGGCGCTGAGGGCGCTCGCAGTTCCAGCGGTGAGGAGCCTCGCAACCCAGCGACGTCTGCGCGGGGCTCCGGGATCGGCCCAGGGCCGTGCACATGGGCTGCCGCTGGTGCCGTGTTCAGCGAAGGGACCCAGACATGATCGCGTCGTAACAAACATCTGGACGGGAAGTTTGGTATTTTCGGCCCCAGGGGGCCCTCGCCGGGCCTCGGGACCGTCAAACATCGACTCAGGACGAAAAACAGGTCCCAGGGAAAGGGTCGGGACTTCCAGGGACGCCGTCCTGAAAAAATCAGGACGTCGCATGTCTGGGGAGGGTACGAGGAACGCCAACTGCCCGCCCGCACCAGTCATGGCCAGGCCAGACCCCAGACCCAGGACGAGCCTGGGCAGGATCGGCGTGAGTTCGATGCCTTCCCAACATTTATTGTCGTTGCTTTTGTCGACCGTCTCACATGGTCACACACACACACACACACTGTCGGCTTGGTCGGCCTTTTGAACACCGACTTGGAAGCCCAGCGCGCGCTCCAGAGCGGTAGGCGCACACCCCATGCCTGCTCGAGGACGTCTACGCATGGAAGAATACTCTTGCACGAGTGTGGCTGTGCGACATATGCCTCGCACGGCCCAAACACGCCAGGCACGCCCCATCCTAGGCTCGCGGCCGCTCCGCCTACCCGACCGGCCATCCTCTTGCGCGGATCCCGTTTGCCGAATTGCCCCGCGCCGAGGGGGGGCGGGCCTGGTCGCGCTGCTTCTCGCTGCCTCCTCGGGAGGGGGCGGGGGGCGGGGGCCCATGGTAGCCCCCCGTGGCCCTCCCCAGTGCGCCGTCGAAGCGCCGTCGAGGCAGTGCGCCGTCAAGGCGACAGGCATGCTCGCCTGCCACCCCCTGGATCCCTTCTCGTCCGTGCCCCCCTGCCCCTTGCTCTCCCGGACGTGCGACGTCCTGATTTCTTCAGGACCGCGTCCCTGGAAGTCCCGACCCTTTCCCCGGGACCGGTTTTTCGCCCTCCGTCGTTTTTTCACGGTCCCGAGGCCCGGCGAGGGTCTCCAGAGGCTGAAAACGATGAACAACCTGCGTCCTGACCGGTTTTAAGTTGTCCGTCCCTATGTTGTTACCGCGCAATCCTGGCTGGGTTCTCCTCTCTCGCACGTGTGGCACTGCGGAGCACAGCGGCGCCCACGGGCGCCCCCCTGCACGTCCCGCCGCGGGCGGGGGACGCCCGATCGTGTGGCCCGCGAGAGCACCGAGCACCCCGCGCGCGCGTGCGCCCGCCGCCGGTGTGGAGAAAACGGAGGCGGGCCGGCGACGGCCTCGGCCGGAGAAGCCTCGGACTCGAGAGACCCAGACCTCCTCGAGTCATGAAAAAATCACGACGGGAGGTTTTTCCCTCACCGGGCCTCGGGAGCGTCAAAAAACGACTCGGGATGAAAAACCGGTCCCGGGGAATGGGTCTGGACCTCTGGGGGTCGCGTCATGAAAAAATCATGACGTCGGGGGTCTGGGGAGGGGGGGGTGGGGGGGAAAAACCGCACGGACACAGTTTCGACTAGACGTAAGGGTGGCCTCTCGCCGGAGTGGCCTCTGGTGCGGGCGCAGGTGGGCCCTCAGACGGCGGCTGAGAACGAGGCGGCAGCAGCGGCCCGCGCGCCCAGGTTTGGTCTCCCCGCGGCCCCCAGGGAGCCGCGCACCAAAGGTCACTCTTACCCAGGGTCACTCTTGCGTGTAGCCGACAAGTCATCGTCGACTCCCGGGAGAATCTGGGATAGTAGGGGAAGTGGTGGGAAGACGAGAACCCAGAAGATATGGGGAACATGGGGAATCCTGCGGTTTGTGTTAAGTCGGGCCCGTCCTTCTACAGGAGGAATATGCAAAAATAGTTGAAAAATAGTCGGGGAACTATTCTTTGAGTATTTTTGGCCATTTCGAGGAGCATGGTTGGGTTTTTTGGATTTCGCCCAAGATCCCCCTGTAGGAGGACAGGCCCGACGCAAGGTTTTTGCGTATCTGTGCTGGTGTGTCCCTGGGCCCCTTTGGCAGACGGCCCACAAGCGGGCCTCGAGAGGCCCCCGGGGCCGGTCCCAGGATGCCCCCGAAGGGCACCCCCAGGAGACTCCCGCCGCCACGGAGGGGCCCCGTCCGAGCAGGTAAGAGCGAACAGTCGTAAAGTGATTGTTGCTGTTGTTGGTGGTGGTGCTGTTGCTGTTGCTGTTGCGGTTGCTGTTGCTATCGTTTCTGTTGCTGCTGCTGTTGTTGATGTTTGACGTTGGTGGTGGTGGTGGTTGTTGTGTTGCGGTTGTTATCGTTGTTGTTGTTGGTGGTGGTGTTCCTATTGTGGTTATTGTTGTTCCTGTTGCTGTGGTGGTGCTTGTTGTTGTTGTTGCCGCTGCTGCTGCTGTTGTTGTTGTTGCTGTTGTTGCTGCTGGTGTTGCTGTTGTTATGGTTGTTGTTGTTGCTGTTGCTGTTATTGTTGTTGTTGCTCTTGTTGTTGGTGCTGTCGTTGTTGTTGTGGTTGTGGTTGTGGTTATGGTTGTTCTTCTTGTTGTTGTTGTTGCTGCTGTTGTTGTTGGTGCTGTTGTTGTTGTTGTTGTTGTTGTTGTTGTTGTTGTTGTTGTTGTTGTTGTTGTTGTTGTTGTTGTTGTTGTTGTTGTTGTTGTTGTTGTTGTTGTCGTTGTCGTTGTCGTTGTCGTTGTCGTTGTTGATGCTGTTGCTGTTGTTGATGTTGTTGTTATTGTTGTTGCGGCTGCTGCTGCTGCTGCTGCTGTTGTTGTTGTTGTTGTTGTTGTTGTTGTTGTTGTTGTTGTTGTTGTTGTTGTTGTTGTTGTTAGTGCGTGCGTGTGCGTGTGCGTATGCGTGTGCCAGGGGCCTCTCAGGAGCTTCTTGGGTCTTCTTGGGTGATCCTTAGGGGCTGTCTTGGTCCATCTTGGGGCGCCTTGAGATAATATTGGGGCCTCTTGGGGCTGTACTGGGGCCATCTTGAGAATCTTGGGGCCTGCGTCCCACTGGCCCCCGCTGTTTGGCCGCTCTTGGGCTGTCTTGGGTCATCTTGGAGCCCTCTTGGGGCCCTCAAGGGAAGGGTGTTGTTCGTGGTCCTCTTAACGCTCTATTGTGGCTCTCGTGGGGCAACCTCGGGACCCGAGAAGCCCACTGCAGCGGCTGCAGTGCAGCCCGCGCAGGCAGGCAGGAAGGCCAACGTGCTTGAAGCAATCTGCTCTGGAAGGACTGTGGCCCTCTTGGGAGCATCCTGGGAACGGTTACTTGGCCACCTTGGGCCGTCTTGGACCATCTGGGGGCCACCCCGGCACCACCCGGGAGTCACCTGGCGGCCAGCATGGGGCGACGCGCTGTGGCCTGCGCTTTCGTGGCCCTCGGGGGGCGGCCTTCGCCCGCTCTCGGGGGGCCTCGACTCCTCCGGCTCCTGGGTTGGCCCCGCCTGCTCCTCGGGCACGGCGACCCAGACCCCCTCGCGGCGTGACCAGCATCACGACGGGAGGTCTTCGGACATGTTTGGCACCTCGCGGGCCCTCGTCAGAGATCTCGGGATGAAAGCCCCGGTCCTCGGGAAGGGGTCGAGATCTCCGGGAGTCCACGCTGCGGAAGAAGTCACGACGTCGGAGTTCTGGGGAGGTCCGCAGATCCCCCGGGGCCGCCCACGCGCGCGCAGACTAGAGACGGGCGACCGCTCCTCTGTACCCGAGCTGCCTGTGTGGAGGGCCGGCCACGCCTGTGGCCCGTTGGGCCGGCGAAGTCTGGAGGAGACGGCATCGGGAGCCTTGAGACGGGGGTCAATGCAAACAGGGGTCCGCCAGAGCGCCCGATCTTGCAGGATCCTGCAGGGCCAGGGTCGCATTGACCCGGGCCTGGGCGCAGGATCCTCCAGGATCCGCCGCGCTGACCCTGGCTCTTGGGTGTAGGACCCTGCAGGATCTTGCAGGACCCTGGCAAGGCCTGACTGACCCGGGTCTGGATCGACCCGGGTCAGGAGATCCCCGACGGCACCCTGAGTCTCGAGCACCCCCTCCTCCTCCTCTTCCTCCCCCTCCTCTCCTCCCCTCCTCCTCCTCCTCCTCCTCCTCCTCCTCCTCCTCCTCCTCCTCCTCCTCCTCCTCCCCTACCCGCCCTTCTAGTCTCGAGCCTGGCTGCTCAGTGAGCTCCCGTGAGCGGGGCGGACGGCTTGGCGGGCCGAGGCGGCCGGGCGGAAGGGCGAGCGGCACGCGTGCGGCAGGAGCGGGGCGCGCGCGGCCGGGCGCTGCAGTCGAGGGCCTCGGTCGGACCGGGGCCCCGAGAGGGAGCCCCGCCTCAGCAGCGCTGTGGGGCCAGGTCGGGCTGCACGCTTCGGGCCCTGGGGCCGTGTGCACGTGTCAGCCACGCGCAGGGGGGGGGGTAGGGGGGAGGGGGGAGGGCTTCTTAGAAGCACCCCTGCTTCGTAGAAGCCACGGGCCTTCCCTATAGATGTGAGGCCGGCGCCTTCTGAGAAGCAGCCTCCTTCTAAGAGGCCCTCCCCCCTCCCTCCACCCCCTTGTGCGCGCCGCCAAACGTGCGCCCCCGTGCCAGAACTCCCTGCGGTCGAGGGCCGTCTTCCTCAGAAAAAGTCGGCGCGTGGTTCGAAAAGACGACGTGCACGTGACATGTGTGTATGCACGTGCCCTGGGCCCCCCCTGAAAGGAGCACGGCCGATACGTCGTGAACATCTGCGAGTTCTACTGGAGCTGGGGCTTCGGAACCGATTCGCGCGTGGGCACCGTTGTGCACGAGTCCGCGCACCACTTCGGCACGACCGACCATGGCTACTGCGACATGGTGGACTGCCTGGCGCTCTCCTCGCGGAAAGCCCGCGACAATGCCGACACGTATACGAGGCTGATCGGGGAGCTGGTCGCGTCCAGCGATCTGCAGGAGGACCGTCTTGGAGGCGAGCATCCCTCGTGCAACACTGACTGTGGTGCGGTGGTATGGGAGGAGTGGGAATTCAGCGCCTCGCTACCCAGCGGAACATGTGGCAGGTGCGAGTCGAAGAAGAAGAAGAAGGTCATGGGCCTGTGGGGCTCAGATTGCGCCGACGATGAGATACAGGCGGCCGAAGGCTTTGTCAAGAACGTGTGCTGCAAACCCTATCAGTGCGCCACAACCACCACCACGACGACGACGACCGAGGAGCAGAAGTCATCTGGTAAAGGGTTTAGGTGGCCGTGGAAGAAGTAGGAGACTCTGTGGACGACGCATTGCCGAAAAAACATCTTCACTATCTTCGTCTTCATGAAAGTACACATTGCTCGCTTCTAATTCTTCGAAAGTTATTTGATTATCATTTCATTTCTAATTGTTCTATCCTGGGCCTCTTCCTGGCCACTAGGGGGCCAGGAACAACTAGATACGAGCACAATTAGAAATGAGCACGATTAGAAATGAACGACGTGTAAGAGACTCTGTGGACGGCGCATTGCCGAGAAGCCATCTTCACTGTCTTCGTCTTCACGAAAGCACTTCTGGTGCTTGCCAGCTGCTGTCAGGCATCGGCAACACCGCGCGCACTTCCTACGCATCCAGCCCATCCAGCAGCGATGCCCAGGCGAGGCTTCCTAAGCTTAGGCAAGGGGGAAGGGGGGGGCATACAGCGGAACAAAGAGCCAGGGAGGCCGTCCAGCCGATTTTTTTTGATCTGTCAGCATGAGGAGGCCCCAAGGCCGAAAGACATGTGCCTTCGCGGCCACGTCGACCGACGAAGGGCGGGGGAGAAGAATGAGGAGGCGTGAGGAGGAGGAGGAGGAGGAGGAGGAGGAGGAGGAGGAGGAGGAGGAGGAGGAGGAGGAGGAGGAGGAGGACGAATGATGATGGATGAGTTGGGGGAGTATGATGGAGAGGATAAAGGCGATAGAGGATGAGCTTGACTGAACACATTCTCACTCAACTTCAGGGGAGGAGCAGAGGGAGGAGGAGGAGGAGGAGGAGGAGAAGGAGGAGGAGGCAGAGGATGAGAAGGACGGGGGAGAAGGAGATGGCGACGAAGACGATCCAAGCAGCAATGCACGTGCGGACCTTCGCTCTGGGAGCATCCCAGAGGCTTCTCGGAACCATCTTGGGGCCCTCTGGCCTCATGTAACCACGTTGAGAGCCTCCCGAAACCAATTGGGAGCCTCTTTTTTTTTGGGGGGGTGATTGCGTGTTTTAGCCTTGGAGCCATGTTGTAAGACTTTGAGGCTTTCTAGGGAACGTCTTGGGGCCCTCTTTGACGCCTTGGGGCCCTTTACGTAGGGGGCCATCTACGAGGATATCGATTAGAGAAGGGGGGTCCTAATTAGCCCCCCCCCCCGTCTGGAACCCCCAAAGTTGCCTCTCGGAGCCCGCTTGGAGCGCTCTTGGGGCGCTCGTGGGGCCACCTCAGGGCACTTTTGGTTGCCCCGTTGGGGACTACTTCCAAAGCCAGCGAGAAGGCAACATTCATGTGTTTCCATTCAGTGTTGGAAGGGTTTGGGCCTCTTGGGGGCCTCCTTAGGAAGCTCCGTGGCCAGTTGGATCTGTCATGAAGCGGTCTTGGGGCCGATTGGATGCATGTTGGAAGCTATCTTAAGCAAACATGGGCTGTCTCGTGCGATATTGGAGGCCATCCTGGGCTTTCTTGGGCCCCTCTTGGAGCCATCTTGGGCCATCTTCGGCGCTCTGACCACTCGCCGCCCCCCCGTCCAGACCCAGGGGGAGGGGATGTAGGCTCCTCCCCCTGCCCCCTCCCACCACATAAGTAGCTCCCGAGTCTCAGCATGTCGCTTGGGAGCGCCGCCTGTGTGTGCGCCAAGGGTTCCAGGCACCTCGGAGGCCCAAGCGTGCCAGGCGCGCCAGGTGCGCCAGGGAATCTCGCGGAACACCTGCCAGGGCATCGCAAGCAGCTCCCCGGAAGCTTTGCGCAGACGGGGCAGTTGCAGCGCGCGGTGTGTTGCGTACTATTTTCCGATAGGGATGGCGTGCTTGCGCGCAGCAGGCAATATGCAGGCATCCCCAGCGTCCCTGTCGAAATGCAGGATGACAGGCATGGTGGGCCTGCGTGGAGCAGGTGATGTGCCAGAACCGCCGCCGTCCTTGTCAAAACCAAGGTGGGGTGCCCGCGAATGTTCTAGAGGTCGTCGCAAGGTGCATCTGGAGTTGTTTATTGACAGGCCTGGCTGGCCTGTGCGCAGCAAGCAAGATGCCAGCAGCCCCGCCGTCCCTGTCAAGGAGGAGGAGGAGGAGCAGCAGCAGCAGCAGCACTCAAGCCACTCAAGCCGTCTGACGTTCCACTGGAAAACGAAGCTTGGCTCTGGCTGGGGCCGTTAAAACCTTGTTTAATCCCCTGTCGACGTTTCGACATTCAGGCAACCATGCTGCTACACATTGTGCGCGTGCGAAGAAGACTGAGAGGAAGACAGGCACAGAGAAGGCAGACAATTCACGCACATGTGCAGCAGGCTGAAAGGCCAGCGGTGGGGCCCAGCACGGGCGCTCGGCCGAGGAATGGCCCAGCCGCGGCCTTTAGAAGATTTCTTGCCGCCGCCAAGCTGCCTGGCCATGTTGCCTCTCGGGGCACGATTGTATTTCACAGTGGCACCTACACTGCGCATCTGCTCACAAAGAACCTGCTCGACGCTCACCCACATCCAAACCATGGCCATCTGCTCACTGGGAAGGTCGAGCGGCGTCGTCTGAATACCTACCTCGTCCCCTTCCCCGCCCTTTGCCTCCTCGGTTTGTTTGAGCAGAGCTTCCTCCACGGCTGGTTCGTTTGGGAGCAGTATATTGCCTTTGAGCGACAACGTAATGCGATTGAGCTGTTTCTGGCCTGGGCGATCGTAGGTGGGCGTGGTCGTCATCTTTTTGGTCCACCTCGACAGCTGGAACGGCGTTGACTTGGACATCATCCTCTGGAGTCTGACGCACGCCTTCTTGCCTGCCTAGATGCGAAGGGATGTGTCCGCGGGCGACGAGCTCTCGATAACGGCGAGAGCTGCGAAAAGGGCTTGGCACGCGGGGGCGGCCAGCTCCTTGTCTGGATTTCCCTTTCTCACTTCCAGAAAGTCCTGGAAACTGTTGAGCATGGCCTCGACCAGAGGATGTTTGCGCTCCAGCATGAGCGTCGTGAAATTGGCCTGCTCGAGGGTCCTCACGCGAGTCTCGAGCTGGGTGATCAGCTTGTCTCGTACAGACTGCTTGGCGTCGCTCTCCTCCTCCTCGTCCGACACGACCTCCATCCCGTCCTCCCTCTTCGTCTTTTCTTCTCTCTGATCGGATGCGATCGCGAAGCTCTTGCTGCGAGGCCCCACCAAGCCTGACGCGTCGTCCTCCGACCTGAACATGGAAGTTCGGTGCCAGGAAGGGAAGAAGATGAGTGAACACATGCTTGGACAATTCAGCTGCGGTGTCGGACTCCTCTAGACATACATGACATGTTCTGGCATCCGTTTCGAGCGCATGACTTTCGAAGCGACCTCTGTTGCACGGACAGAATTGACGAATCAGGCTGCGTTTAGTGTGCTGAAGTGCGACCGTACGATCACGAAACGCGCTAGAGCACATAGTACGTTGATTAGTAATAGTGCATATTCTTGCGATGTGCAACTTCCCGCGCGTACCTCCCGACGTCGAAGCGATGTGTGCGACGAGTTGTTTGTATGTCGGCCATCTAGAAATGCACTGCGATCCATCAGACATAAATTCTTTGCAGACGAGCTCGCCGCTCTCGTCCGTCGAGGGGGCCGCGCTGCTGACGGCTGGCGGCTGCGCCAAAAAGGCGGCCCGCAACTCGCTGACATCGATTGCCTGGCAATCCTTTCCAAGCTCAAATCGTACACGATCTAATCTAGACTCAGCCTCTTCTAGCAGATCGGCCCCTGCTTCGATGGCTGCCAGTGAATCAATATCTTGCTGCAACTGAAATGCCCATGGATGCCCTTTAACCACCCTCCCGTTAGTAAGTACCCCCCCCCCCCCGTCCACCGCCAGAATACCAGACATAGCTGCCCAGAACTGCCCGTGCAACTACTTTGCCCTGGGTATGCTTTGATACCGTCTAAGTCGTCTAAGCCTTAGTTCAAGAAACAGCGGTCCCAAACCGAACTTGCGTAAAACCTCATGGTTGGATAAAAGTGCGAGTTTTTTCCCTCTGGCCACGAACAAGTCCCTTGAAGCATAGCTCGGCCCTTGGCGACTATGAACCCTTCGAGTCCTGTGAGATCTCTAGGCACCAGGGGCCCCGCACCCTTGGCCCAGACTTCCATTCCAGAAAGAGCCGTATTCACTAAAAGACTCTCGACCAACTTGGCTTTCAGCTTCCATGGGGCGTTCGGGTGCCAGAACTTTCCCATCGAGTAAAAAGCTCACGCGTAATGCATGCTGCCGCTTCAGCAGCTCGGGAACTGGTGAAAAAAGGGTGGAGGTGAAGTGTCCTCCAATATATCTGGCATGGTGCTTGGCGGTGCCGTCCACCTTCGGGCTGCCGCGGTGAAGTTCGCGTGCCAACTCAGAGGACCCAGCACCAGTGAGGAACGAACTATTCTCCTGCTTGCTAATGTTCTGGCTGCCCCCCCACCTCCCCCATACCCATGTCGACCGCTAAATTCCCCGCTGCTGATCCTGCTGCTATAGATGCTGCTCCTCCTCCTTTCCCCTTCTCCATAAATTTGGTGGCAATGTCATCTACAAAGCCCGTGAGTGCAATATGCATGGTGTCCTGCCCCTGGCCATCCCACGGCAGTCTGGCTTCGACAGCAATGTGCCATCCTGCTCCACGGGACATATCGGCTACGTGCTGCATCACTGGCTGGGGGAATGTGCAATCGAATATGAGAATAGCCACCGCGTCTCCAGGCAAAAACTCCAGTGCCTGGTCGTCGCCAGGAAACCCCCGTCTCATCCTCGAGTTTTAAACAAACCTCTTGTACATCGGTCCTCCACTCCAGGAACTCCAGCTCCTCGTAACAGTACAGAGACTCCCCACGCTTTAAAACTGCGCTGCGTTTTAAGGAGAAAAAGGCGTTGGTGGCGTCGTGGCACCTCATCATGTGCGATACGCCCCCTTTCTGCGTCCTCTAGCGGCCTATCACTTGGAATTGCCATGGCTGTCTCACGTCTCCGATCTCGAAGGCCCCCATATACCCAGTCGGGAGCTTCCCACGCCCCATGTTTCCCACGTCTCTTCTTCAGAACCCCCGCGTGAAAACATCGGCCTAGGGTGCACA